GGCCTAGACCCTCTGATGAAGGGTCTAGGCCCGAAACGTCAGCCTTTCTGCTCCTATGATGCTGCTTGGCCTGTTGTGTTCATCCAGCCCTGCACCTTGTTGTCTCTCATTTATTCTGCTGTGTACTTTTATGGAAGAGATTTTGTTCAAATCACATCTCAATTGTCTCCCACTCTGTTTATAAAAGATATTTTAATCTCTTGTCTTATATGAAAATGGTCCTTTATTCAACTCTTGGCTCTATTCCTATGATCAAGAAGCCAGAGGCTGGGTCATCAGTTTAGGATGAGATACAGAAGCCTGAACACCCGCATGAGCAGGTTCAGGAACAGCTTCTTTCTGACTGTTATCAGACTGTTGAATGGACTCTCTAGCCTCAAAAAACACAGATCTTGCTAAAGTTGATCTCGCCTCGCGCACACCCTGTGCAATGTAACCTGTATGCTTCTGTCTAAGTCTTTTTGATCTGTACACCCTTTGCTTACTATGATCTGCCTGTACCGCTTGTAAACAAAGCCTTTCACTGCATTTCAGTACACATGACAATAAATAAATCAATCAAAGTGTCCATCTATAACGCTACTGTGCAGTTATAATGACACCTATTAATATTGCCTTCCTATCTCCATTTGCTATTACAATGATCATTTGTATTGACTTAATCTGTAAAACCATAATGGTATTTTACATTATTCCTGATACATTTTCAGGGTAATATTCTGTACTCAAATCTAAGCCACCTAATGCTAGAAACTGGAAAGCACAAATTAACAGGACTGTTCAGCAGCATTGGACCTCACTAAGTAAAAGTCACCAAGCATGTTCCTTCTTGACTTGGAAAACTTTTCAGGAATTAGTTGCGAAAAAAAGGGATAAAACTCTGGAGTTAAGTGAATGGGTCTCAGCCCTGACAATACTGTCTGCTTCTACCCTGCAGATGCCTACAGCAGGTAACTGTATAATGAATTGTTGCTCTGAACTCTCTACCTATTGCAACAACTTGGCTTAAGCAACATCTTTAACACAATGAAATGACGGGACGAGCTTCAAAGTAACATTATCAAATAAATTTGCCTCTGTTCTATACTAGAAGATATTCATTAGCCAAAACCTTGATCGAAAATGTAGAAATTAAGGAGCATATTAAAGAAGATCAGAGAGTCACAGAAAAGTGAGATTTAGAGAGAATTCCAGTGCTTAGATCCTAGGCAGGTAAAGGCACGGCCACCAATCATGAAATCAGGGAAATGCTTGAGTACAAAAGTCTTGGAGAGTAATCAGGTTGAGATCTGAAAATAGTTTTGTTTTAAGGCTTTCTACAAAGCAAGTTTTGTTTTAATTGTTGTGACGGCAAATATAATCGAACAATTTCCTAGCAGCTATGCCATATAACCTCAAACCTAAAATTTGCCTTAATTAGTATCAAAATTTAAAAATAAACAAAACAAAACTTGAAATAAATTATTTTGGTTAACTTTCTAGTTTTGAAATAGTTACACGTAACATTTAGTCTTTCCCAAAACTTTCCTTTTGGCACAGTTTTATCCTCTACAATACCTCCTGGTAGAAAGTGCATGGTTTTAAATACTGAAACTATTGATCATTTATAGTAACAATCCACAGTGCTTTTCTCTTTTATCTTTTAATTAGTCGTGTATTTTTAATTCATACACACCTACCTCTAATACATTACAACGCCCTAAATTGTTACAGTGAAACTATACAAGATGAAAATTTTGACAAGTTTTTACAATTGCATGGCATCAAAAGAAACAATGCTTTAAATGTACATTCAAATTTATTTCACACATACATAATGGACTGGAAAGGTGACCTGCTATAATACTTAATGGGTTAACAGACAGCACCATTGATTGTTGGGACCAGCTGATGACTTCTCTACTTCTATATTTAGGCAACTCAGAAATGGCAGAAGATCTCATTCCTAAAACACAGATCTGTACACTTGTGCTAGCTAACAGGTTTAAAAATATACCGCAGCAAATTAGCAGGGACAGAGTGATGGCCCCATTCCTACAAGCATTAGTAATGCACAACATCTGTGGTTAGCTACAAACACTCTCTTTACATTCACACCATCAAAGTTAATACAATTTCATGTGGAAACAACCAATCAAACCTCTTGTAAATAATAAGCCAAAGACTGTACTGAGATAACTTAAGCATAGCATGTGGCAAGCAGCTGTCACTGAAGGCTTTCTTTAACATAGAATGTTAACCCTTTAAATACTTTTTCAGAAAAACTGCTTAATTTAATGGGACAGAAACTGGCCTTTGCTTTGAGCAAGGTTTGCTTGGCACTTTTTCATCTAATGCCCCTGAAATATGCCACTTGTGTCAAACTGGAAGTTAGCAACTGTCAAGTCTCCAAGGCACTTGCCTGAAGCATTTGATGTTGCAAATATACAAATTAATGTCTCAAAGCCAGCTTTCAGAGCCCGCTCCAAATTCATTGCCATGGGGCAGTTGTGCATTGCATATGCTCGGCTTAGTTATACTGACTTTACAGCAGTCTTCCACCAGATCTTAAAAGAACAGCCAAAAAAAGTAACAACTTTTGTTCTCTTTCATGTCTATGAAGGATGAAAATACTTAAATGGCATTTTGTTCCTTGACCTTCTAATGCCACATCTGTGCCATCTATGGTCAAGAGGAAGAGCAGGCAATTGTTCACCAGGCCTTTATCAGTGCTGCCATACAAAATGAATTCACAGAGCACAGAGTGAATCAACAAGCATTGCTCTCACACACCTCCTAGTGGTTCTCTGTAAGGGTCCAAGTAGCAAAAGCCTAAGAACAGGTCACCAGCTACCCTGGTGAACTAATTAGGGAGGCAGAGTATGTTTCATAATGGGAAAAATGTAGGAAGGCTTCCTACAAATCTGCACCTGCTGAATCAAATGGAACAATTACATTGGAATTAATATAACTGTTGTAAATAACTCAATTGTGTATAATTATATCAAATCCAGCAAAAATTAAACTAGAATTTGTCACTGTCTTCTATATGTACAAGCAAAAACCAGCAGACAATCCTTATGGTCTGGAATACAACTATTTTAACTGTTCCACACAATCAGGAGGAGGAGGTGGTAGCATGGTGGTAACACCATTGGTTTAATGTTAATGTTCTGGGGTCAAATATCACAATGGCAAATGGTGAAATCTGAATTCAATAAATATCTGGAATTAGAGAAAATCAAGTGTAATGGTGAACATGTAAAATTTGTCAACTGCTGTAAATTTTTTTTTAAATCTGGTTCAAAAATAGAAATCTGCTATCCTTATCTAGCCTGGCCTACATTTCACTACAATACCACAGAAATGTCACTGTCTTGTTATGGCCCTCTGACAATGAATGATGACAATGTCCCATGACCAAATAAAGAAAATGTGGACCCAAATTCATAATTTTAATCATTCACAATTTAAGACATGTTTTGTTCAATTACTTAATTCTGCAACAACCCCAAGAAATATTTTAATTAATACCACATAGCTTTCAAGCAGAAAACACCTGCTCCCAAGTTTCTTTCAGCGGTGGAATGAGATGGTTCAGAGTGCTACCAATACAATATTTTACTTTTTGCTCATCAAAATGATTCTATTGGTGCCGACGATGCCTGTGAAATGTATGTCTCCAAGTGCAACTAAAGTGCAGCACAAGATTTGTGTTCTTAAAAGTAAATAGCCTGCTGGAACTGTCAATACTGTAGGGAAAATGTCACATGCCAAACCAGCATAGCCCCTATTACAGCATCACATTCAAGCATAAACCTGCTCCACTGGAGAACCACTCTTTAGAATTAAAGCCTGGGGGCTGTTTCTGATGCTTCATCGCCCAAAGGGTTAACTGCATTACCTTAATGAACTAAATACCGTTTATGAAAAGAACTGCTTTTGTCTTCTGGGAGTGGAGGGGAGAAATATAATATTCCTCCTTCAACAATGTTGAAAATATTCTATTCTAACCAACAAAAAACAGGAAAATGATTGCATGTTAAAAAAACTCAAGGATTTCTATAATTCTGGTTAAGAATAGAACTCCGGACCTGCCCGTTCTTTCACTTTCTTGTTGGCTTTTGGGATGGTGGGCTGGGGGGGGTGGATGTGTGTGAAGAGGAGGCGAGGGGGGAAACTGTAAATGTTATTACCGCACGTTAACATCACATGCAAGTGACGCAGCAAGTATATAATTGTACCTTGTGTTTATAAACAAAGGAAAACGTGTTAAACACCGCTTGGTGAAGAAGGTAGTGGCTCCTTTAAGAACTGACGGCATCGGTCCCAGTGACAGCTGTCAAGCCAAACGTTCCCATGCAATTCCCCAAATGCTTTACTTTATATTAACTTTGGCAACAAGTTTATTGCAGCAATGTGATTGCCCGAATTCAGAATGGAGCATACAGCAAACCCCCCCTCCCTATTTCCAACTAAACATGGCAGCCCTTTCTGATTCACATATTACCATCGTTTTAGCCTAAATAGGTGCTCCCAAACAATAAACTTTTAGGGGTCTGCTTTTTTTTTTGTTCAACAGAGGGCTGGAAGTCGAGAGAGGGCGACGGATCAAGCAAGAGAAAACGTTTAGCTGTGGTAACACTTCTCTGAATCAGTAATCGGTTAGCCAGATCGCAAATGCATCAGAAGATTCTGTTCCCTCTCTCTACAGCGATCTGTTTAATCAGAGATGCGCTGTGAGATACAGTGTAACACTTCGTATTGGCAAGCATAGCAGCCACAGTCAGAAGCACTGGGCAATGCACACACAGTTACAACAAGGACAAGCAGCAAACCGGGTTATTGTTACTTACTCGTTAGCTTGAGGAAAGCTTTCTTGCGATGTACAAGATAGCATCAGGCACAACTGTATAACTGCTATTAGACAGAGTGAGCTCCTGCAAGCAGCCATCTTCCACCGTGAATGTATTTTAAAACAAAGTGGGAGGGAAAATAAATAAATAAATGCAGAATAAAAATAAATCTGTCTGTCCCAAGTTAATGTCAGGAAGATGAGATTCCAAGAATAGGTTCACAACAGCAACAAATTCTAATAATCCCAAACTATAACATTTAGCGGCTGATCTGAAGAGCCGCCATCAGCCCGGGTTCCATCTCCAAACAGCTTAGTTTTGTTTTTGTTTTGTTTTTTTTCTTGGTTTGGGATATATCCTGGGGCTGTGCAAACTGCTGGTGATCGTCACTGTCCTGGACTCTCAGTCCCCTCCTCCAATTGCCCTGTGAAACCAGTCTCATCAATCCCCTTCGCTCCCCTTCGATCCCGGACTAGTTTCCATACAAGGAATACCACAAATACACACAGACACACACTCTCAGTCTCCGCTCGGGGAGCCAGCGGCTGATTGCCTGTCACACAAACATCGCAGTCTAACCCTGGTTTATATCGACGCTGTTAAAGCGAGGTGCTGCGTGCTGAGGTGACGCTCTTAAAACATTCACAAGGCGGGTTCTCCACTTGCGCTATGACTTTCTCATTTGAAACGCGTGTTATAAAAACATAAAAAAGCACTCAAAATTACAGTCTATAGATCAAAATGTGTAGAGCACCATCATCCACTTTCTCGAAACGTCAACCCTGAAGTGTGTTTTGAACCTTGAGACCAGCTGTTCTGTTCTATATGGTTGCTGGAACTAAAATCAAAGCTTTTTTTTCCAGGGGTTCATTTTTGCGTATGACTAAGTTCTAGTTAAGATAAAAGCCCATTTTGGGGACGCAGTTCCTGTAAGAATAGAGCTTTCTAAGCAAATATCCCTTCCATATATTGCTCATGCCGAAGAACTTGTGTTATGATTAATTAATTAGAAATTAAAAACTGAATTTTGCTACAGTCGAATGGATGAAGAGCCTAAACCTATCGATATGTGCCATGGCAGAAACAAATGTCTAAAGTGAATTAAAACCGAAAGAACTGTGGATACTGGAAATCAGAAACAAAAACAGAAATTGCTGGAAAAGCTCGGTAGGTCTGACAGCATCTGTGGAGAGAAATCAATTAACATTTCAAGTCCGGTGACCCTTCTACAGAACTCGGACCCGAAACGTTAACTCTGATTTCTCTCTACAGATGTTTCCAGATCTGCTGAGCTTTTCCAGCAATTTCTGTTTTTTTGTATCTTTTAAAGTGTCCTGGTTTCTGTCATTCTGTTAGGATGGCTGCAGCCAGCCCCAGGTCTGCATGTAATTTTTCCTGAAACTTCCAGTTCCATGGTGAGAATGCAGGAGCACCGACTATTGTCGAGAAATAACTGTTGGTGATAGCAGTAGAGGTACCTAAATAGATTTGTATGATATTCCTTGAGCATTTTGTTTAGTGCAGACATGGACTAATTTAAAAATATTCGACAAAAAAAATTCAGGAAGCATTTGTTCATTCACATCATCAACAATAGTGACTACTCAATCTGTTGTAATGCAAACATTTTTAAAAGTTTTAAAGTCTTGATTTTCATTAAAACCATAAATAATATTTTTACAATGCTTAATGGGATGCATTCTTTCTGCATGACAGGATATTAAACCACTCGGCCCTTTTAAAAGGTTGGAACTTTCTGCCCTGATTCATTTATTTTAGTCCTTTTATGTGATGTGAGTGATGGACAGTATCTATTGCCCATCCCTAATTACCATTGGGAAGGTGGTATGGAGCCATGTTCTTGAACCAGTAAGTCCATGTTGACTTTGATGCCATGGCAGTAAAGGAATGACAATTGTTTTTCTTATTCATTCAGAGGATGTTGGCATTGCTGGCTGGCCAGCAGTTATTGCTAGTAACCCTTGAGAAGGTGGTGGCGAACCACTGAGTCCATGTGCTGTTGGCAGACCCACAATGCCTTTTGGGAGTGAATTCCAGGATTTTGACTCAGCAACAGTGAAGGAACTGTGACATATTTCCAAGTCAGGATGATGAGTGGCTTGGGGGAGAGCTTGCAGGTGGTGGTGTTCCCATGTATCTGCCGCCCTTGTCATTCTAGATGCGATTAGTCATGGGTTTGGAAGGTGTCTCAGCAGCCCCAGTGAATTTCTGCATCGCATCATGCTACTACTCAGTGTCAGTGATGGTGTGTTTATGCTTGTGGATGTGGTGCCAATTAAGACACTTTACTGTTCTTTAGTGCAGGAAAGGCTGCATCCACACGATTCGTAATGGAACTAAATAGTTGTATTTCTGATCCCATCAAGCCTTGTAAATATACTATTTATACTTTAATTGAAAGTCAAGATTTTAAAATCTTTTAAACATTACTGTTGATGATGTGAATAAACAAATGTTCCCCTCTGACCTTATCCTAAGGAACTCCTGCCGTAATGTTGAAGGACCGAGGTGATCAACCTCCAGCAACCTCAACCATCTTTCTTTGTGTTAAGTATAACACCAATCAGTGGTGAGCTTCCTCCTTGATTCCCACTGACACCAGTTTTGCTCAGGTTCTTTAATTCTGCACTCAATCAAATGCTGCCTTGATTCAGGACCAGTTACACTTACCTCGCTTCTTGACCCCACTGCTTCTGTATGTGTTTGGACCAAGGTTACAATGAGGCCAGGGGCTAAGTGTCCCTAATAGTACCCAAACTGAGCATCAGAGAATTGAGCTTTGTTAAGTGCCACATAATAGCACCGTCGATATGTTCCATCACTGATTACTCAGTGTAGACTGATGGAGCAACAATTTGCAGGGTTGGACTTGTCCTAAATTTCCATGTTACTAGGTAGAAGCCAGTGTTGCAGCTGTACTGGAATAATTTGGCTAAGGGAGTCACTGGTTCTGGAGCACGTCATCATTACTATTGTCATAATGGTGTCAGGTCTCATTGTATTTGCAGTATCTAGTATCTTTAATTGTTTGTTATCAAATAGACAATTGAATTGATTGAAAACTGGCATCTGTCACGCTGGGGACCTCAGGAGGAGGCTGAGATGGATCATCCATTAAACATTTCTGACTGAAGATTATTGCCAATTGGCCACTACCACAACTGGATGTGGCAAGACTGCAGAGCTTACATCTGATCCATTGGTTATGGAATTGCTAAGCTCTGTTTATCATTTATTGCTTCCACAGTTTGATAAGCGTGTTGTAGCTTCATATGGTTTACACTTCATTTTTAGGTGTGTCTGGTGCTGTACCTGCCATGTCCTTCTGCAATCTTCTTTGAACAAATGTTGATCTCTTGGCTTCATGGTAATGAGGTTAACATTGTTTTTGAGTACAATTCTGTTGTTGTCATTGCACACAGTGCCTCATGAAAGCCCAAGCATTAGGTCTGTTATTGATAGATCTTTTGGAGGTCTGTCCAATTTAGCGTGGTAGTCATCCCACACGACACAATGAAGGGTATCCTCAATTTGAAGATGGGACTTCATCTCACAAAGACTGTGCAATGGTCACTCCTACTGAAACTGTCATAGACAAATACATCTGTGATAGGTAGATTGTTTTTTCCTCTGTTTCCCTTTAGGATTCCAACAGCTTGGTCATCAGTCATGCTACTAAGCTGTTCTTGATAATGAACATTAAAGTCCTCCATCCAGAATACATGTGTTCCTTTGCCATCTTCAGTTCTCCTTCCAAGTGGCATTCAATGCGGAGAAGTACTGAATCGTCAGTTATGCGTGTGAGGGTATGATACATGGTATGCAAGAGATGGTTTCCTTTCTCATGTTTGAGCTGATACCATCACCCTTATGGAGTCCTGAGTCAATGTTGAGAACTCCCAGGACAACTCCCTCCTGACCATTTACCCAATTTGCCACTGTACTGCCATCTCTGGTGTGTTTGTTTTGCTGATGGGACAGGACATGATTCTCTGGGATGATTTGATGATGACTATTCCAGGCTGTTAATTAATTAGACTTAAGCCCCCAGGTGTTTGTTACGATGACTTTGCAGGATTGACAGCTGGGAGTGCCGCTGTCATTTTTGTGCCTAGATCAGTACCAGGTAATCCGTCTGGTTTCATTCCTTATGAATGAACCCGACTCAGAATGTTATAAAAGGTGGGAGATGTCCATGCTGGCAAGGGGAACATTTAACCCTCAGTGTCAGGGTAGATGATAAAGGATAGTGCTCACTCATGAGCATACTATCACCATGTTTTCCCAGAAATAAGGCTTCCGCACTGACTGGGTTTGAAACCTTAATGAATACAAAATTATATGCAGCCAGAAAACAATGAGGTGCTTTAAATGCAGCATTATAAATTTCCTGGGACAGATGAGGCAACCTCACAAGCAACCCATCACTCAAAGGATGGAACTTTCATGAGCATCCACTTGAGAATTCAGTAATTTTGCTGTTTCTGTCCCTATATGTCAGTGCAAAATGAGATATATGGACCCACAGAAAATACCATTCCCTAAAGAACACACTCACAATTTTAAAGCCAAATTCAATTTGAAGAGATACAGTATTATTTGAGCTTATAGGAACATTAGCAAAGACATTTTGCTATCATCTGGAGACAAAAAAGTTTTTTTTAATTATATGTATGTTTAAACGTTCATTTTTGTCATTCACCAAATTGAAGATATCACCAATTTTGGGTGCAGCGTCAATATCAGACACTCATAGGATTTGTCAAATATGACAATAGGGTACTTTGCTCGAATAACATAATTTGAGTTAAACCTCAGAAGATTCTTCCTTCTTGCACTTATTACCATTATTTTCTGCAAGAGTGTCAATTTCATGCTGAACTTGGCATTTATATTTATCTTAAACAGAAACTGAGTTCATTGACTAACATGAACGACTGTCATTTTTGAGAAAAAACCTTAGTGCTGACCTTCATTTTCTATTAAATAAGATCAGTCAGAAGAGGATGTGATCTACATATTTGCAATGCTGAATGTTATAAGTAATACAGACATAAGGCAGCTATTTGACAGGAATTGTGAATGAGGAACCAGAGACACCGGATTAAAATTAATAAAACGTAGATCAGACTATAAATCAAAAGCTTTCCTTGTTCCTTTATAGAGGAGTGTATATTGTGAAATAGACTACAAGTAGATTAGTGTAGAATGGTAGTGTACTAGGGGAGACCATTTGGCCCATCATGCATTTGCCAAAAGATGACTCATAGAGTTTATATCTGTCAGTGTTGGCTATGAATAAATATAAAAATGGGATTACATAGGATAAAATGGGTGTTATGTAGCCGGAATGAAGTGCCAGATGAGACCTGAATAGTGAGGAGATTAATCTGCAAGAGGTTTATGAATGAAGTGGCACCCATGATAGACCCAGATTAGACCTGAATAATGAGAAGGATAATCTGCGAGAGGTTTATGAGATCTCATTTTTTAATGGAGCATTTACATAATTTTTTCCCTAAACAAACTGTATGTCGTT